GCAACACAGAGAGGAAAGACAGAAAGAGGAATATCTTCCATCTGCTGCTTTGCTCTCCAAAATAGTTGGCAGTAGCTAGAGCTGGGCCAGGTTAAAGCCAGGAGTCAGGAGCTTCATCTGAGTCTTTCATCTGGATGTAGGAGTCCAAGTTCCTGAGTCTTCTGCTGCTGCTTTCCCAGGTGCATTAACAAGGAGTTAACCTGGAAGTGAAGCAGCCAGAACTCAAACTGGTGCCTGTACGGTATGCCAAGACTACAGACAGTGGCTTACCTGCTGTACAACAGTGCCAACCCCTACAATAAACTTTTCATTCCATTTTCCACAAGCTTTCTGGAAAGGCCTCATAGATTTACAAATATCAAATTTAAAAGATAAGTGTATTTTTATGCAAAACATTTTGAAGTCCATGAATATATTTCTGTAATACACATTTTCCATAAATATTTTGAAGTCCCCTTTTGTGCATACATGTGTGTGTATGTATGTATGTATATATGCACTTTTTGATCATTAACCTGGAAAAAATCCGAAATCTCTTTTTGTCAGCTTCCTTACTTGCAAAATTTGAATAATTGTGCTATAGATCAAAGAATGCGTGAATTAAAATACAAGAGTAGCTAATGCATAGAAACTTTGGAGATTTTCAGTAGTAGTGGTTCCAGTGATGATGATGATGATACAATTAATGCAATAATTTTTATATGGTAACTTGACAAACTTACTAGAAGACAAAACAGGAAGGAAAAATCATTACAAATTTCCACAAACATCCAGATATTTGAGCTGCACTTTAGATGATGAGCAAAATCAAAATCACAGGGCTTCATAGAGAAGTCATGAAATTCCCTGAATAACAAAAAATAAGATTGAAAAGTAAAATGCAGCTATGTCAAAGAGGTCCTCAAATGTTGGACTAAATAACATGGACTCCACATTTCTGGTTCCTGTCACTTTTTTTACTATGTAAACTTTGGATACAAGATGTGAAAATCAACAGATGTCCAACCAACATCCCCATTCCAGCAAGTGTTATCAACACCCATTTACTGGCTCTCTTGATTTTTATCATCATTCTTTGTTCAGGTGAATAATTGGTCCTTGAGCCAAAGGGAAATAGGTTATGTATAGTATGTTTGCCTGAATTCCCAAAGATATCCATGTGTAGGTATGTACACACTGGGGTAAAGAAGGGGGGCGAGATTGACATAAGAAAAGGAAATGTAAACACGTTAAATGTGACTAACAGTCTGGTGCAGGGACAGGACTCCTACAGTTATATCTTTCACCCAGAGCAAACAATATTCATTTGGTCAAGATATTTATCACATGAGGCATAATATACAAAGATGATTGAAAATTTTCATAGAAAACAAAATTTTAAAATATGCTTATTTTTGTTCCAACAATTTTGAAATCAGTCCATGTATCGTTTTTTCAAGTAATTTTCTAAGACTACTGTTCTTCTAGAACAAGGATGATATCACTATCCGGCATTCATAATTTTAGAGGAAATGGGGAGTAGTATTTTATTTTACTTTTTCATTGGAGAGTCAGATATACAGAAAGGAAGAGAGACAGAGATGAAACTTTTTTGTCCACTGATTCACTCCCCAAGAGGCCACAATGGCCTGTTCTGAGCCGATCCGAAGCCAGAAGCCAGGAGCTTCTTCCAGGTCTCCCAGGGGGAGGGAGGTTGGGCACAAGGTCCCAAGGCCTTGGGCCATCCTGGACTGCTTTCCCAGGCCACAAGCAAGGAGCTGGATGGGAAGTGGATGAAGAAGCTGGATGGGAAGCCAGGATTAGAACCGGCGCCCATATGGGATCCTGGAGTGTGCAGGGCAAGGACTTTATTGATTGATTGATTGATTGATTGATTGATTGACTGATTTCTGATATAGTTTAGTTGGGGGTGGTCTCTTACTCCCTCCCCTTCCCCAAATCGCCTCCCCTCCCCTTGTTCTCCCCTCTAGGTCCATAATGTCTGTCCATCGCGAATTTTCCCAAACCCGTCATGCTTCCACTGGAGTGTCTCCCAGCCATGGAGGAGAATAGCTTTTTGTTGTAGGTTAATTCTTTGTGTGTGTGTGTGTGTGTGTGTGTGTGTGTGTGTGTGTGTGTGTGTAGGTTAATTCTTGTATCCTGGGACCCTAATGTAGCTAAGTGAGGATTAGGCCTTTGTTGTTTATGGGCAGTACCAATAACAGTTGTAAGTGGACACTGACTATCTTAGGTGGTTATAAACAATCCACCTCTTGTGGATGGTTGATTAATGAATTATATCACAAGTTCTTGTTACATTAGGTACAAATAAGTATGAAGTAACACTGATTAACATAGTGTAAGATTCACATATGAAGGCAAAGACTAGTCACTACACTATCACATCAGGCCTGGGAAATGGCATTTTATGCAGTGTTTATAATTTCTAGGTTTGTTTTTACACAGTGCATCCATTAATTTGAGATGTATTTTTGTAGTTGAGCACATTAGTGTTATTTCACAGTTCAAATGGCAGTTTTACATTTGGAGGCAAGCCTGTCTTTTCCATGTTTTTCATTTCTCTCCTTTATTTTGCTACCTTCAAAGGGTCATTTCCCATCACAGTGTTAAAGCCAACTTCCAAACAGAATTTTAGTCTAGCATTATACTGATCTATAAATGAGAAAAAAAGTAAGTTTGTGTGAGGTCCACAGGGTATTACTATAGTGAAATATTCTTTAACTACGGATTAGGTTTAGTATATTATGAGATCAGCAGTACTAACGGTCATCACTTACAAAGTCACATTTTGTTTCTGAACAGTTGTAGTTATCTCTTTATGGAGACATACATTCCAAGCAGTAATGATTTTTTTTAAAACTTTAGGTTCACAGAGAATTCAGATTTTGACATCAGAAAGGCCTAAACAAGAATGCTGTTAACTGCTGCTCTCATTGCCCAGTATCCAGAGAGAGCCTTCAACATGATTGTGGTCAATTTTTTTTCTCTCCATGTTGTATGTGTGACCCCCCCAAAAAAATCGTCTCTCAAATATTAATTCCGTTGTCAGTGGTTATTAGAAATTCCTACTGGCAACAAAATTATTATCTAAATAACTGCTTGAAATGAAAGCATCTTTACTGATTGAACTATTGTCCCTAATCTTAGAGTGAACTACATAAGAGCAAAAGTAATTTTCACTGCCCCAGCACTCACTTGAGAATATTTCATAGTAGGGACTTAATGCATATTTGGCTTATGCAATAGTTGAATGAATCAAAGATTGAATGAATCAATGAATATCTGCTCTAAAGGAGTCACTGCAGACACAGAAATGAATAATGTGTAAACATTGATTTTCCAGAAAATTGCATATAAGAATGTCAAAATTATATTGTATATATTATAAATAAATAAATAGGTTTTTGAGAAATATGCACTTAGTACCTAATATTGATGAGGCACTTTGCAAGAAACTGTAGTATACAGAGTAACCGCATTTGTTTTCTGAAGCCTGAAGAAATATTATATAATAATCACACAGGTTGCTGTAGAATATAATTTTAAGTGCTATGAATAGTATCATAATATGGTAAGAGGATCTGACATCAGTATGGAAGAAAGTGAAGAAACACTTAAAAATATGATAAAAATGCCACTTAACTTGGGTTGATTTTTTCCTACTTTACTAATGGGGACCTGAGAAATTACCACTGTGGCTTGTCAGATTGAGCTAAGAACCTGGTGAGGATAAAGCAAGAGAAGCAGAAAGGAGCCCAATCTGCTCTACACAGATCTACACGTAGCCTAAACTGCTCCTGAGGAGTTTGAACAATGTGAAGCAGAAAAATGAGGGCCATATTTGCATTCTTGAAAGATCACTTGACTATTTCATGAACAATCTGAAGCCAGGAGCCTGGAGCTTCTTCTGGGTCTTTCAGGTGGGTGCAAGGTCCCAAGGCTTCAGGCCATCCTGGACTGCTTTCCCAGGCCACAAGCAGGGAGCTGGATGGGAAGCAGAGCTACTGGGGTTAGGACCGGCACCCATATGGGATCCCGGCCTGTGCAAGGTGAGGACTTTAGCCACCAGGCCACTGCACTGGGCCCCCAAAACTCCCAAATCTTTTTAAAAAGGGTAATAATCACCCCTCCCCCATGAATTTTGCTTTAGAAGATTTTCTTACTGTAGGAGACAATAAACAAACCTACTCTATTCACAAAGGGAGATATTGTTTCATCTTCCAAACCTGTTCATTACATAAACATCTTTGAGGAGAGACAGTCTGAAACAGAAGGGATCAGGGTCCCAATCTAGAAGACAAGGCAGAAGCATGATACCCAAGGGAGAATTCTCTCCCGTATTCTTGAATGAGAAATAAGCCATTTGGGTGAAAAACTTCGAGCATTTCAGTTTTCAGGTGAGTGAACTGAGCTACAGCAGAAATGAACCAACTTTCTGAGAAAACTGAGTTGTACAGTGCTCCAGCCAGCACCGTCCAGCTCCAGAGCACAGTGTTAAGGAAATGAGCCATCCCCATCTGTATCCTGTCCCCTGTCCACCTCCTGGAGTTTTGTGAGTAGGTGACTTAAAAAGAAAGAAAAGAGAAAAAAGAATGTGAAAGGAAGAGTCAAAGTAAAGGAAGAAAGTGGAGGGTTTTTAGAAATCCAGACTTATTAATCTATTTAGAACGACGGAGAGAGGAGACTGAGGATTGACAAAGAGCCTTCCTATAGCCACAGAAAGACTTGGGGATCAAACTAATAGATTGAACACCAGGTCTGTTTTTCCAAACAGAATTGTAGGTCCACACTGTTCCAATTGATCTTCTTACACAGGTGGCATTCCTCAAACCTGGAGCCCAGAATATGATGTAGTCAATTAATAACCAAGCACACCTGTTACACTGCGCAGGTGGTGCCTGTGTTGCCATTTGTTTATAAGACTCCTCCAGCTCTAGGACTTTGGAGAGAATTGGTAACATCAGTGCAGTTTTATCAGCTTCTTGTACAGAACTTCAGTCATGAAGCTAACAATCGTCTTTCTTCTGGGTGCCTTGGCCCTGCTGAGTTTATCTGGTAAGTGTCTTTGCATATTGTTCAAATCTGAGTAAAACTTTTTGATCTATTGTGCTGAGCATAATACATTCTGTATTGGTAACATAATGTACTGTTAGACATGTTTTTGGTACCACTGAAGTGAAATAAGCCCAATAGATTTGTAGCAATAGTGATCCATTTTATCTACTCATATCAATTAATACAGACAGATTCCTACAGTGAGTGCCTGATTACCAGGTATTCACTGAGATTCAAGTAGATTCTGAAATCGAAAAGAACCCCAAAACATCAGGTTTTAACTATTCTCCAGACGTACTGGTGCTTCATGACTTGCCATTGCATTTAGCTAGGAAGAACTACCTCATCATCAAATATCTCATACACTATTGATATCTAAAGCAAGTCACATCAGCGTTTCCTCCAAGTGCTATTTTTACGGGGGAATGCACAGTGACTTTTGAGTTCCTGTAAATTCAAAAAGTGTGAGGGCCAGCATGATGGTTCAGTAGGCTAATCCTCTGCCCTGTGGCACCAGCATCTCATGGGCAGCGGTTCGTGACCTGGCTGCTCCACTTCCCATGTAGCTTCTCTACTTACAGCCTGGGAAAACATCAGAGGACGACCCTAAGCACATATGGGAGACCCCGAAGAAGCTTGTGACTTTCAGCTTTGAATCAACTCTGACCGTTGTGGCCCTTTAGGGACTGAGCCAACAGATGGAATGCCTTCTCTCTGTAAAAAATCTGACTTTCAAATAAAAATAAACAAATCCTCTCTGTATATCCGCCTTTCCAATAAAAAAAAATAATAAAAATCAATCTTTAAAAAAAAAAAACAAATCTTTTTTTAAAAAAAGTGTGAGGGAAGGTCTGTAGACAGCCAGTGTAACAGATCTATAGAAAAATAAGGTTTTGGAAACTGAGGGTAGCTAAGCAAAAGAGTTCAATTTCTTTTAATTAATTTGGAAGGTAGGGGAGTACAAAATGGGGAGAGAGAGATTTGTCATCCACAAAAGCCCATAGTATTTGGGGTCAGGCCCAAGGCTCATACCAAAAGGCTAGAATTCCACTGAGGTTTCCCATTTTTGGTGTCAGGCACCCAAGTAATTGAAACATCACCTGCTACCTCCTGGGGTACATATCAGCAGAAGCTGAATTGGAGGCGAGCAGCTGGGTCTTGAACCAGACACTCTGATATGAAATGTGGGCCTCCCAAATAGATATTTCACCGCTGTGCCAAATGCACATCCTAAGAGCCCCATTTTTTGAGCATGTAATTTCAAAAGTCTTTTTCCAAACAAAGGACTCAGTAGTGCTAGTTGTATCTTTCACAACTACACTTTCATCTGTTAACTGACATAAAGACTCAAACTTCACAAAAATATTGAAGACCCCATAATTTTCATAATGTCAATGAGTGTTCAGAAAATATTTGGTCAGTTTGTGATACATTTCAAACAATGTGTACATAATGTATATTTGACTTATGTTTTCTAGATAAAACCAGAGCTGACTCCCAGGGAAGAATGGTAAAGAGAATTTTGTAATTTCTTATTTATTAGGCTGGAATTGCTTGATGTAACAAAGTGAAGTCTCACTGCTACTGTTTAATTTAGACTAAGGACAAGAAATATAATTTGCTGAGCAGGCTTAAGCTGCTAGATACAAATGGTAATAGCAAGTGCCACTCATGGGCTTAGATTGAAGGAAAAATTCACGGACACACAGGGAAGTTCCATGTAATTGTGTAACACTTTTTGTGTGAACTAGTACTAACTGGAAGGATTGGTATTTTGGATGGAAATACCCAAAGACATATTAACTTATGGCCAGTTTGATTATGTTAACCCAAGATGCAACTCTAATTTATAATGAACAACAGAAAATAAACTAGGTTCTTCCTCTAGAAAAATATTTTTACTCTAATTTATCCATATTCTCCTTTGTTTAAAAAAAGTTCAGTAAATTTGGAGATCAGAGAAAGTAGTGTCTCCTTATGGCATTTATATCCAGTTAGTGATAACTGATAAACCAAAATCTGTGTGTGAATAACTCATTATTTTTCTGTAAATGCTGTGAAGAAATTCTGGTACCATTAGGAACCTAGGGAAGGTGCTCTTAATGGTAAGAGTTATTTTAATCCATGAAAGACAGCTAATTGTTTGCAAGCAAACTGGTAGGTAGATGTACTAGAATGAAGTATCTCAGAGCTAAAGCCCAGAAACCAGAATGACGGAAATCTGGGTGTGAATTCTGGATCCACAAGTTTATTATAGATGTGTGGTCTTTGGTGACTTGAATAGTTTGTACCTCCATTATCTGAACAATTATGTAAGAATAATAAATGCAGAGGATAGTTATGAAGTAGGTTAGTGAACAAATGCTTGAAAGTTTTGAGAAAGGGGTGAATGTTTCAAATGTTGATCATTAAAATTTTTAAGTGGCTAATGTATAAAAACACTTAGGACAGTGTCTCTCCCGTAGTAGTCATTTGATAATGTTCCTGAGATAGAGGAAACAGAGTGCAAAGGTCCCTACAATGAAAAACACCTGGTGCCTTTGAGCGTGTAAGTGGACTGGGTGCACAAGGAAGAGCATACTCCAAGGTACAGGTGACCTTCAGGAAGCCTACACCTGCAGGAACCATAAACTTGAACATTGTCTATTCAACATCCACATACCTCACAATAGCCTTATGAGTAGGTGAGAAGATATCATCATTCCTGATTTGGAGACAAAGTCACTAAGGCTCAGGGAGTGGGCCAAAAGACTGGCAGTGTCACACCCGGCTAGCAAGAAGTATCCTTCAAACTAGGCTTTCTGACTCCAGATCTTTGGTCATTCTCTTGGGGCACTCTGAAATTAAAGCCATATTTAGTAATTTTGCTAGAAACCCAAAGAATGGGGAATGATGGAAAATAATTCTGTTTAACTCCATTTTTTAGGCCAATTGTAACAGTGAAGGTATTGGATGCCCTAGGAATTACAACCCTGTCTGTGGTTCTGATGGAAATACTTATTCCAATGAATGTATGCTATGTGTTGAAAACCAGTGAGTACAAACTTGAATTTCTGTTTAAAATGTTTAAGTTACTTGTCTTCAATCTTTTATATATCTCATCACTTTATAACCCTAATCAAAATATAAATGTAAAGGTCTTACCATGAAAGAATCAAAATATCTACTTTTTTCTAAAAATAATTTTTTCCTTTTTTGGGAGGGGGCATATAACTGATAGGATCATACGATTTAAGAGGCTTTATTGTGGCACAGTGAGTTAAGCCACTATGTGCAACAACAGTGTCTCTTACGGGTACTGGTTTCAGTCCTGGCTACTCAACTTCAATCCAGTCCCTGCTTATGTACTTGGGAAAGCAGTGAAAGATGGCTCAAGTACTCAGGCCATGTGGGACACGTAGTGGCTTGACTCACTGTGCCACAACTCATGGGAAGAAACTTTCAATTTCATTTAATACCTAAACACATGACATATACAAAGTATTTTATTGTGTAAGTCTCTTCTGCTTCTTTGCATGTATGATAAAGAGAAAATATGCATAAACATGCACTAGATAGCTTCTCTACATTTTGGCAAACAAGGTGTAAATATTACAAGACTGAGACAGAGATGCAGATCTCTTTTTATTGAAATGGGTGAAAAGAATGCCTTTTACACATGGCTCTGAATTTTGGCAACCCTGAAAGAGCATTCCAGGTAAATAAAGGTTTCAGAAAATTAAATCGAAACATTCCACAAGTAACCCAGAAAATAGTTATTCTGGGGTCATTAGATACTAAAAACTTTGACTCAGGCTCAAGTGACTGCATATATTTTTATTATTCTACTGTATAAATTTCCTTCTTTATTATACAAACCCTTTCCTGTTGTTTTAAACCATTTCAAGCAATTCAAAGAGTTCAGTAATGATTGTAGAAATAAATACAAGTCTCCACAATGTCTGATATCCTGACACTTCAGGTTCAAAACGTTAGGTGTTATGCTTTTTGGTAACTTTCCACAATAAAGACTCGTAAAAGAAATTTGAAACCAAATGTTAATTTTCTCATGGCCTGTGTTGTTGACATTAAGGTCACACATCAGATTGCCATTCAAGGGGAGGAGAAAGCAATAGATCAACTTTGAAACTTGGGAAACCTGCAAGTATCAAGCCTTAAAGTTTAATACTTAAGCTAAAATATTGGGGGAAATATGAGCATAAGGTTGGACACACAATCTCTTTAGCCTGTGAAAGCTAGATCATGGTGGTGGGTGTTTGGTATCACAGGTAAGACTCCATTTGGGGTACTGATATCTCATATTGGGACTGGCTGGAATGAAGTCCCAGCTGTGTTCCCCAATCTGGCTTTCTGATAATGTGTGTCCTGGGAGGTAATGGCTGAAGTAACTGTGTCCCTGCCAAGCAGAAGGCAGAGCCAAACTGAGTTCCTGCCTCCTGGCTTCCAGAATGTTTTAGGCATTTGTGGAATGAAATAGCAGGTAGGGAATCTCTTTCTGTAGATTTCTGTCTCAGAATGTCTGCCTATGAACACGCAAACATTCACACATATCACTACGACTACCACCACAACCAGTTTCTGCTTATGACATAAAATGTAACCTTTATTTCTACATATATTTCTCAGATAAAACAAAGTCACATCTAAAGACAAAATATAACATATTCCCAGATGTACTCTATTATATCAAAATTATAAAATTATGTTAAAATCCCCAGACAAATGCACTGCACAGCAACTAGGAATACACTCTAACCCTGATTGTCAGGGTTTGATATAAATAGCTGAATCATGCATCATCATGCAGATAGTATTTGGTTATTATGTATTTGGAAGATGTATTTAACAAGGACTTTTATGTGTTGGGCATCTTAGGGAATATGTAGCGGATGAGTCTTTTCTATACATCTCGTTGTCCAGTGGAGCTTTCTGTAATGGTGGAAATGTTCTGTTTCTATGCCATCCAGTTTGTAGCCAGTAGCATTTAAATGTGCTAATACAATGGAGAAATGAATGCTTTACATTTAAATAGCTGCAATAAGAGCACAGCCTTATTAAAAAAAAGTGTCAATTCTTTTGGGCTTTGTTTAAAAGTTTGTGCTTATATATAATTTGCAAACCAGTGTTATAAGTGGTAGATAATTATGAAACAAGAAAACATTACCAACTCTTAAAAAGCCAACAATGTTCAGATAAGTGCATTTTTAAAAATATACGGGGCCAGCCTTGAGGCAGAGCAGGTTAGGTCTGTGTTTACTGAACCAATATGCCATGCTGGAGTGCTAGCTAAAGTCTCAGCTACTCTGCTTCTAGGCCAGCTTACTTGGAATGCATCTGAGACGCAGCAGATGATGGCCTTTTTGTGCCACTGTCAACCATGTAGGAGCCCATGATAGAGTCCCTAGCCTGGCCCACATCTGGCTGTTAGGACCATTTGGAGAGTCAATCAGTAGATGTAGAAAATCTCTCTCTCTCTCTCTCTCTCTCTCTCTCTCTCTCTCTCTCTCTCTCTCTCTCATGCTCTCACTCTCTTCCCTCTCTTCCTTCTCTCTCTTTTGTTATGCCTTTCAAATAAACAAATATTGTTTAAATGTGGAAAGCATATAGATTATCTCAGGTATTAGAGAAATGGAAGAATTTTCCAAGCCAATATAGGCAAGGAAATGATGGTTGGGGAAAAAAGAAAACTTTGTAAACTGTCTAATGAGGAACATTAGAAGAATTAGAGCTATTTGCATAAAGAAGAAGGAGAAAAGAAAATGGGAAAGCAGGTTTGGGTGAGGAACAGAGAGAATTTGTGCTAAAGGGGAGAGTGCTTAGAACTGGCAGGTTGTACAGGTTAGAGAAATCATTTCCTTTTGTAAGACCTCTCAAGTTCTAAGGATCAATCCATTAGAAGGTTCTGTACTAACCCAGACACCATATAAGATGGATACCCATTGGTTAAAGCAGTGGCATCAGAAGCTAAAGAAATAAGGATTAGAATTGACCCCGGAGGGTCTCTGTCCTGCTGCACTTCTTACCCCTTACTCTCTAAGGACATTTTTCTTTTCTGTAGAGTCTCTAGTGTGTGTTATAGCAATCAGTGACTTAACAGTTTAAAGTGAACGAGCAAAAGGCAGAAAAATGAATCTCAACACCCTCTACTTTAAATAAAACTGATTTTTTCCCCCATTTCTTTGTCACTAAAGTTTAAGCTGATTTTGTCTTCAATTTCTCTTACAGGAAGCGCCAGACACCCGTCCTCATTCGAAAGTCTGGGCCTTGCTGAGAACCCAGAGTTCTGAAATCCCCTAAGGTCACCAGAATGCCAGACTGGCCTGGTTACCGAATAAATGCATGCATCTGAATAGCACTTGCTGTGGCAACATGATTTTTCCTTAAAGGTGTGTTTGAATATGTTAGGTACGGGAGAGGTGTGTCAAGTGTGCCCAGGTCAAGAGAGTTGGATTAGACTAAGTGTTACAAAATACAGCAAACGAGCAGTTCCTCATAAGGCTTCCCTTATTAGAGCTTTTCCTTCCCCATCTACCTCTCATGCTGGGGCTTTTTTCCAAAGCAGTGTAGTTACAGATATTAACTAACTGATGAGACACATTAAACTTGTAAATCCTTTTTAAATAATTAACTTGCAACTAATTCCAGTAATGATGTTGGAAATTAGACTACCATTTTAAGTTAGAATTGGAAAAGTTTCAGCCCTGGAGCATGGTCCCATCACATTTTATGAATTGAAGGAGTTCCTTTAGGATTGCTCAGGATTTAATTGAACATCTGTTGTGCTTAGCATAGGTCCACATACACAGATATAAATCTGGCAGCACAGAGTTTAGTCCTTGAGATGTTTCTATAAATAACAGTGTAGATTTTTAGGTCAGACATAATCAGTGAGGTCTAAATCACTGAGATAACTTTAACAGCTATATATATATTTTTTTCAAACAATGCTACTTAGCAGTCTCTGGATTTGTCCTTCCCCGTTCATGACTTAGCTGAGTAGTGCTGCTATGGGGTTCCAGGTATCACCTGGTAGTAGCCTGAGGTTTGCATAGAGGATTCCTTTCAGTCTTGCCTTAGAGATCTGCCTCATAGCATCTGACACACTTGTGCTGAACTAACCAATTGAGGAGAAAAAAATTAACTTGAAAACTTATCTCTCCTACCAACTCCATGTTCAGTGGATGACCTGACAAAGAAAAAATGACTGTGGACCAAGGGAAGTGATAGTGAGAACTTTATGTAATTCACTTTGCTTTGCAAATGAACCACATGAACCTTTAAGGTTATCGTTATCTTGTTAGTAAATTCAGTACAGAGTTAAGGCAACTAAGTTAGCAAACAAAGTAGCAGAACTGATCTTTTAATCCAGGGCTAACTCCAAGGTTTTTACTTCCAAACCACAATTACCCTCCTTGGATTACTACCTGTCTTTTCTAAAGATGACATCCTCCTACTCAAAGGGCCAATGTATTTACATTTAGGAATAGTAAATAAGATAAAAATAAGGAAGTCTTCTAGAACAAAAAATATAACTACGAGAAATAGAGCAGGGAAAACATCTTCAACTTCTGAGGTCCCAGAGAGCCAGCCTCAAGTGGACATCAAAAGCACGCAGAGCTCAACATGTATCGAACTGCTTGATTACAGTGAGAAACAAATCACACATTGAACCAGAAATAACCATTCCAAAGCTGTTCACACTTGGAACACAATTGCCTGACACCCCAGTAAATTCAGGCTAATTGTGATACTAAAGTTTGTCTTGAAGTTTAAATCTGGCCGCTAGAGGGTGCCGTCATCTACCGAGTGACTTAACTAGCTCCTCCAGCTTTCACCAATCGCTAACACAAGTTATGAATCCAACATGGCATCCAGCATCCTATCAGGGATGCTAGAGGACACATGAAGGGCATTCCTAATCTTACGAAAAAATGCTGTGCTAAACAGAATTTAAATCCTTAAATTATAATGTCTAATCAAACTATTCTGTAAGTTGGACAGAAGTTTTGCAAATTATCAGCAGAAACATGACATAAGTTCAGATTGCTTGCCCTTGACAGTCCTGCTCTCTTTTTTGATCCAGCAGGAAGTGTGTGGATTACTATGCCCATGTCTGGAGGTTATGTTTTACAAGAGCTGACATTCAAACTGGAGTGTGCTGAGAGAAGGGAGACTGATAAGAATTTGAAAATTTGTCTGTGATGAGTGGTTGAAAGTAGGAGATTTGGCTGAAAGGAAAACCCTCAGAACTTGGTGAGTGCTTTGAAATAATTTAAGGGAAAAGCCTGTTAGCACCATAAAAAACAAAATTTCTCGTTTTTGTACTTCTGTGTTATAGGCTCAAAGATGATGCCTAACACCTAGAAGATGCTCAAGTAATATTCTCTTTATTACATAAATGAACAAGGAAATAAAATGCATATATTCTGGTTGGTCCCAAAGAGTAGAATTGAAACTAATTGGACAGGTATTAAAGAGAGACTGTGTGTCATTGGGAAAATGAACACCATAATGCACAAGATTGAAGAGTTTGATTTAGGGTATTTGTGCTTGACCTGGCTCTACCACTATGTGTCTAGCCCTGGCAGAAGTCAAGTCAGGTAGACAGACATGAAGGACTGTGAGAGGGAGGCATAAAACCCTCATACCAAAGAGGGACCAGGGACCATATTGTCTGCTGGAATGCACCCAAGACCAATCAGTTGGTAGTTTAACTTGGGTTGAAGTATTTTGATAAAATGCAAACTGAGCCAAACCAAAAAAAGTCTAGTTTATAACTCAAGTGCAGTAAGATCAAACTTGACATTGGACCAACCCAGCTTCATTAAGATGTTGATGATAATTAGCATTACGGTTTGACCCAACCCACATCCAGTGGGCATTCCCAGTGCATGCTGGAAAGCCACCTGTGCAGAGTTCAAGGTAAGCAATTCCTAGATGTCAATAAAAAATGTCAATCATGAGTGTCATGGCCACATCACCAATCAACCCCCTTATCCACTCTTCAGGAATAAAATTCCAGACCAGGGAAGAAGATGGCCACGTGCTCTCTTCATTTGCTCCCTTAGAACTTGTTTCAGTAAACTATTCCTTACTACCCCTAATTTTGTCTCTCTGTATTATGATTAATTATACACTGTGCTAAAAGGAATCATGGTAAGCCAACCACTGGAAATAGGAATTTCCTAGTTTCTTCCTCTCTGGTGTGGGGTCAGGAAGAGTTCCCTCACAGAGCAATTAGCTCAATGCTTGACATGTGTCCAAGTTCATTTCCTAGTGTCCATGACAATTTACGAGCCCACTCACAACAGTGAGAGTGGAGGTGAGGCTTTATTTAACTAAGAAAAACAGAGAACTATGGACAGTGACAATACAGTCAGTGATGCTGATGGAAACAGAGACCAAGCCACTGAGATCTTACAGTCTAGGGGTATTTGTGTCTTAGCATGTTATCTACAAGGAACAAAGATAAAAATTCTACTCTGGAGGCCAGGGGTAATCTTAATGGAATCCTTCCTTGATTGTTATCTTTTCATCATTGACAAGTATTTGTTACAAGAGGTTTCAATCCTGTGTATGTGCTGGCAAGGAGCTGCAGAACTGAGTCAATCTGGCCTGCTTCTAGTTCGTGGCTCCCTCTTAAGTGCTCAAGATGTATTATCTATTATTGTTATTTTTCATCTTGTAACCCTTTGAGATCACTAAAAAGGCAACTGAATGGAGGCCAGCTCCAGCTGAGTTCAGAGCTCAAGAAGGGGGCAAAGAGTCGGTGAAAAGAAAAGACACGGACATGGTCCGTAACAGCTGAAGAAGCTGTCCTTTTCATTTATTCAGACACATCACAAGGCTCTGAACAAATGTTTGATTTTACTATCTTTTACTTTAGAACTAAGCTGGCATGCACAGATGTTCGATTAATTAATTTTTTACTTCATGGTCAACCAGGTTCTCTTAAAGATAATTCTGTAAGTTAATACAATCAGTTGCTTCAAAGTAAGCCATTTATTCATTCTTCAGTAGTAGCCACTAGATGACAGCCAGGACTGCAAGGCCAAGGCACATGTGATTACCTACTAATCAGTAGTACATTCTTACTACATTTCTATTTCCACAACTTGTCCATCATTTAATGCGAGAAATATGTCACAAGAGAAAAACATAAAAATCCATGACAAAAGTTTCAATGCCCCTACAACCGCAGGCTCTATAACCCCATAAACAATCAAACAATAATTAAAAGCATATCTCTTTAATTCCTCTAGCCAAAAATTATATAAGAGGCTAAAACAGATACATTTCCTATGCTCCAAAGAAATTGCAAGGACAGGCTAGCCTTTAAGATCACAGTAACTGTATTTATCCCCATAGCAATTCAGCTCATACTCCCATCACTTTCATTAATTTTTAGGATACTTATCAAGGCCCTTTCCCAGAAGGCACACTACATGCCTGGGTCAGGTTTTGAGGCAAAGGTTAGGCACACAATAAGGTGTCCAAAAATGGCATGGGTTTAGATGTGCTTCTGTGTGTAAATTGTTAAAGGCTCACTCACCAAGACATGTTCAGCAACATTAACTCCCAAGCTCAAATCGGTTGCAAAAATCATCTCACAGGGGTAAACAACAATGCCTTAATAGATTACAGAATTCCTAATGGGGTGGTTAAGTGTCTATGCAAAAGGGGGTGAAACTGCATTGGGGAGCTTGGAGAGACATCCGCTAATGACAATGTTCTACACGCTAGGCCTTGCCATACAGCTGGAAGCTCCTTGTGGCCTTGCCAACAGGAGAGCTGTTCTCTTCACACCTCTGTGTCATCCACACCCACTGCACAGACTCCAGCAAATTTCCTTTGTATTCACTGCTTGCTTAAAGAGAGTTCATTTAATCCAAAATACGGCATATATGAATAGTGATTACAGAAAAGAGTAATATCGATTCTGTGGCTTTTAAACAACTCAAGAGGCACAAAAAGCCAAAAAACACAACCAACAAAAAAGTTTGTTGCATATCAAGTCTAAAGCTTCTTACTTGAGTTGAATGTTGTTTGTGGTTAATGTTTAATAGATGTGTTAAAACAAATAAATAGAAATGAAAGTTACAATGTGGATACACAAAGCCGACTAGAGATGACAATAGCTTAAGTTTTATATTATCTAATTTCATCAAAGCTTTATTCCTGAACAAAACAGTTAGCTTATCTTATCTGCATTTTTCAATGAAATCAAAGCGAGTAGCAATGGAAAAATTAGACAACTCTGTTTGCTGTAAA